TTTGTTTATTCTTCTAGACAGCATGGATAGTTCATCTTCATCTTCAGATGAGGATTCTTCAGAGCTTTCCTCTATTACCTGCAATGCTTTAGCAGATTTATTAGATTTTAAAGCAACAACTTTACCTTTCTTTTGAGGTTCATCTTCCTCAAGTTCAATTTCATGACTTCTTAGTGAACTGATTAGTTCCTCCAAGGAGATCTTGTTCAAATCTTTAACCATTTTCAATGCAGTCACCATAGGTCTCCATCTGGTAGGTAAGCTTCTGATGATCTTTTTCACATGATCAGCAACAGAGTATCCTTTATCCAAAACCTTTAGGCCAGCTGTAAGTATTTGAAATTTGGAGAACATAGCTTCAACAGATTCAGAGTCTTCCATCTTGAAGGCTTCATACTTCTGGATCAGAGCCAGAGCCTTTGTTTCCTTGATTTGAGAGTTTCCCTCATGAGTCATATTTAAGGACTCAAACATGTCAAATGCAGTTTCCCTATTTGTAATTTTTTCATACTCAATGTGAGATATTGCATTTAACAATATTGTTCTGGCCTTATGGTGATTTCTAAATTCCTTCTTCTGAGCATCTGTCATAGATTTTCTGTCTACATTCTTGCCATTCCCATTAGTGGGATGAACATATCCATCTATGACCAGGTCCCATAAATCAACATCATATCCAAGGAAAAAACTTGTAATCCTGTCTTTCCAATAATCAAATTTCTCCCCATCAAACATAGGGGGTTTGGTGTTGATCCTGTCTCTTTCTTCATATTTGTTGTTAATGTTAGATACTGTATTATCAGCCATAGCAACAACCAAATATATATCAAAGTTTTTCTCACTAGATCTTTACTGTCACTGTGAAGTGGTAGCACACACAGAACCGGAGCTCTGATGCCAACTGAAGGTGAGAAAATACTTAGAAGGGGGTTGGATAAGTATGAAGATAAAAACTTAGAAATAAAAACTCAAGTATTTTTATCCTGGTTCGTTGAACTCAACTACTCCAGTCCACCCTTCCTAGAGTGATTTGCCTTTCTCAATCAAGGACTTAATCCACTATTTAATCAACTGATTACAATAGTAAGCACTAAGAACAACTGTTCAAAGTCTTCTCAAGAACTACTGATCCTAACTGGATCTTCTTAAGGTTTTCTTACAATCAAATGTAATAACAAATACAAGTGTTTAAATTGCTTCTAATAAAGCTTTATCACAACTGTGATTTTTCACTTAATATTAAGAACAAAGAAATTAATTCTAGAAAGAATGTGAATAGTATGAAAGCTTTGAATATTGATTTCTTTTCAGGTAAGAACGTCAACTGAAGAAGATGGGTGAAGACTTGCTTTTATAGGCAGCTTGATCCAAGAGAACTTCACGTTGAGAAGAGTGTCCCAAAAGGTTTGAGCCTTTTTGTCTTCACATCAAGTGAACTTTCCTAGAAGAAGAAAGCACAGAGAAATCCTTTTTGTCTGTGTTCTTGTGTCTAGCATAAATAAGGAAAGAGTCGTTTGAATTATTCCAACGGATATAATCTTTGAATTCTTCTTCTTCAATTTTCAGTAAGATTCACCAGAGTCTAATTTGATCAGAGCCTTCTGATGTTAATCAGAGTTTTGCTGAATCAGAGTCTTTGCAGCAGGTGTGCTTTTAGCGTGTATAAGTTCAGAGCATATTTGAGTCAGATCCTCAGTACTGGCAGCTTTAGTACTTTCAGAATCTTCTGTAGTAACTATGCTTTGAAAACTCTTCATACAAAATTCTTCTTTGGTTCAGATGCTTCTGACTTGCTTCAGATTCTTCTGGAGCTTCTGCTTCAGATCCTTCTGGAGCTTCTGCTTCAGATCCTTCTGGAGGCTACGCTCAGGATCTTCTGTTGGCAGCATTCAGAATCTTCTAAGGGATGCATCTGGCGCTTCAGAGCCTAGCATATTTCTTATGTTCAGTTCTGATTTGCTTATGGAGTGACAATTACTTTAATATCTGCAATAAAAACTCTTAAGCAAATTTTAGAGTATATAATTCTTAATTACAAAATTTCATAATAGTTATCATCAAAACATAGAGATATTATTAAGAACCAATTTGTGTTCTAACAACTCTGACTCTGATAACTAAAATGATTTGGGAACTTCGAAAATGTTCACCAATGTTACTAAGAAGAACTTGTAGTTATCCAAGCTATCCAAATTTTAGTTGCATAATTAACCAGGTTATCTAGAAAGAAGAAACATAGATATGGCTTTGAACCTAGCTCTGATATAAGCCAGCCTCCAACCAAGCTCTGATACAAGTAATTAAGAATTTCTAACTAAGCATAAAAGTTTAATCAGAATTTTTTATACAACGGATTCTAATACATGGATTCAAGAATCTTAAATCAGAAGAAATTTCAACCAAGTGCACTCTGACTCTGGGATATGTGTTCTACAATAATAATCAAATTATGAAGTACTCTACTTAGCGCTTCTGAACATTTCTCATCCAAAGCTTTATGACTATGACAAGAGAATCCTATGATATTGTCAAGCTCTAAACTCTTGTACTCAGCAACTCTGATGAACTGTGTCACCAGACTCTGAAGACCAAGTTTTGAAGGTCTGGATTAAGACTATATAAATTAAATTTCTAAAGACTCTCTCGTATAAACTCTGATTCTTCTTCTATGCACGCTTCATCAACTCTCTATCTTAATCCCCTAAATAATTGAAGAAAAGATAAAAAAGTTCTACATGAGAAAGTAGTACACAATACAAGATCAATATTTTTCCACTATATTGATTTTATGGGAAAAGGATTGTACTATTGTACCATTATGTCTCCCATTTTCACAAACTGTTATGCAAGGATACATCTACATTTATGTATTTCATTTCTACCCTCCAACAGATCTTTTCATTGTCTATATAGACGAGTATTGGAAGAATGGAACAGTACCAACCCTAAGAGAATATCTACTACGTGAATATTGCATACTGTGAAATATTTGAGAGAAAGAAAAACAAACACACAAGGAACTTTTGTTCATACAGTTTCATAGAAAATATTTTTGTGTGAAATTCTTTGTAATTCATTTGTATAATCTATTTTCTTAGAGGCATCATGTAAGACACTTTCTATCTCAACTTTTGAGTTGTATTTCCTTGAGTGACTAGGGTATAGTCAGAATTACTCAAGAAGATATTGATAGTTAGTCTTTATGTTTGTAATCAAGTTTGGTTATAATGAATTAAGTCTTTGTGATAAGGTGAAATCACCTTGGTGGGTGGACTGGAGGTAACTTTGTTAACAACAAACTAGGATAAAAATAATTGTGTTCATTGTTTTTATTCAAAGTTTTCTCCTTGGTGTTTTGGGTAGCAAAAGATTTTCATTCTAGAAACCCTATTCAAACCCCACTTTCTTGTGTTTCGATTACCTTCACATAGTGGAAAGCATCTTGGCATCTTCTCAATGAATATTGGGATATGGAATACTTTCATGGCAAAGTTAAAAACAACTATATTGTCTATTGAGATTGCTAAAGATAAAAATTGAACCCGTCTTTGGTTGGAATCAGAATTAAAGTTAGTAGTTCTTGCGTTCATCGGGTCAATCATGGTTTCTTGGATCCTTCGGAACTGGTGGAAAAATGTTCTGCATCATACTAGATCCATTTATTTTTTGGTAATTTACATCTTTAAGGAAGGTAACAATTGCGTTGATAAATTGTTAATATAAGATTACATGTACAAGATTTTACATGGTGGAATGTAGTTCATAGAGATATTCTTATGGATTTTGCTAGGAACTTCATAGGTCTCCCTTGCTATAGAATTTTTCATCAAGGGATTTTGATTTGGTCTCCCCGTTATTAGAATAATTAATTATATTATATTGTTTTTATTTTTAATTTAGATGTTTATGTGTCAAAATGATTAATTTTAATTGGATGACAATGTAAAATATCTTTACATTGACATTATATTCTAATTAATCTCATATAATTTTATTTTTATTTTGCAATATTATTATAAATAAGTTAAAATTATTGATTTTTTAAAAAAACTTTTAATAATAAAATAGAATTTTAAAACAAGGGAACAAAAACTTAAGAAAAATAAAAGTAGAATGATCTAAATTTTAATAAAATTAAAAAATAAACATAAAAAATCAATCCGTCTGATCAAGAAATTTACTAGTTTAAGACCTTTGTACCGATTTTTCTTGGGTCAATTACAATTATGTCTAACTAGCGTCCAGACGGACATTCACATGCTCGTCTGTCCGCTTTTTATAATACTTACACGTGTAAAATATAAATTATATTATTACTTTTAATTAATTTTTATTTTATTATTTATTATTTTTAAAATAATAGTAGTAGATAATGATACAAGAGATAATAAAGCATCACATAACTACCATTGGTTAGAAAGAGAAGTTAAGATTTAAAATAAAAACTAAAAAGGGTATATTTGAAAGAAAAAAAGCTACACCAAAATCATATTTTTCTTTTATATATAGATATAGATAACCTTAACTGCTAAACGCTTTGATTCATTGACACAGTCTAATGGTTTCTAATAGTTGAATGGTTCGGATTTTAAAACAATGTTTTAAAAGATATAAAAAAATTAATATTTTTTTAATTTAGATATTCGTTTGATAATAAATAATTAAAATAAAAGTCTATTTTTTTTTTAAAATTTAATATGTCAAATTAACTGTAAAATTATTTTACCCTATCAATATAATTTTATAATTTTATAAGTTATAATTTTATTTATAAAAAATTAAAATTTATAAGTAGTAATTATAATTTTTTTTCCAATTGGGCTAGGATTTACATAGCTAAAAAATTCAATATTTATTGAAATTGATTTTAAGAATTTCATAACAAAGAGAAATACCCATGAGGATTTAAATTTGTAGAAGGGTTAAAACGAGCGAAGAGAAAGCTCGAGTTTTCAGTCGCTCTATTACCACTTTCACTTTGAAGCTATAGTTTGACGGCAATGGCGTACTTGAGCATGGGTGAAGCCCATAGAAGAATCACCGAATATCTTAACCGCTTTTTCGACGCCGTTACTTACCAAAACGGAGTTTCCTTCAAATCTCTCTTCTCCCTTTCCTCCAATTCCCACTTTCTTCTCTCTCTCGCTGACGCTCTCGCTCTCTTCAATGACGCCAATAGACTCATCAATCAGAACGATAACTACTCTCAGTTCTCCGATATCATCGTCCCCCTCTTCCGATCACTCCAACACTATAAACAGTCCAATTTCGTTGAAACATATAACGCTTTCGAAAAAACCGCCAAGTATTATTCATTAATTTGATTTTTTACTTTAATTGAATTTAACTGAAATTGAAGTGATGATGAATTGTAACAGTTGAAATTTTCAGTGCGTTTGTTCAGGAGTTTCGTAATTGGGAATCCGCGTGGGCTCTTGAAGCTTTGTTCGTCATTGTTTACGAGATTAGGGTTCTTGCTGAAAAGGTGTGTATGTTATGTATCACGCTGAACTTCTTTGTTCCTGTTTTGGTTGATTTTGAGACTCAAAATTGAAAATTGCACTTTTTGAACCTCATAAAAATCAATTTTGAGATGGCTAGAATTTTGCACTTACAAAAAAATAGTGCTTTTTTTTTAAGAAACACTTCTTAAATTTTATTTTTTTAATATATATTTTGCTAATGAGTTTGGTTGGAATCTATGTTATCTTCTTTTATTTAAATGTAGATTTTGTGTTTTTTTTTTTGTTTCTAGGCTGATAGACAACTGGCTTCAAATGGAAAATCTCCTGAGAAGTTGAAAGGTGCTGGTTCTTTACTCATGAAAGTGTTTGGAATCCTTGCGGTATGTAAACATTTTCATCTACTCGTTTTAATTTGAAAACCAATTCACAGCTCAAGTGACCGAGCTCAAAGGAAGGTCATAGATTGCAACCCTAGTAGCTACTAACTTAACATATTACCATCTAATATTTGCCTATGCAAAAAGTTGAATTCAATCATGTTTGTTTTTTGAAATTTAGTTTTGTATCACTATTGATTGGTTCGGTGTCATTAACCATGCTACTAAACACTTCTAGATCAATAAGGTTGAGTCCGATGGGCAGTGAAGTAGCAAAATAATATATACAAATATTTCTTTTGTTGAGATTCCCATGGACCTGATATATATACTGCAAAAGTAGCTCTTATAGTTTATAAAACGTGAAAAATCCCCACCTTTTGAGCTTGCTGTTAAACTTAAGTTAGATTTTAGCCTAAATTTTCAGTCAATGTCTTGGCCAATGTTAGTCTGTTCATTCATATATTGTTTGTGGAAAAAAATCGGCGCTGTGTCTATGTCTGCATAGTCTTCTACATACTGTGGAACAAGGAAGAAATTGTAATTATATCCACCCTTTCTAAGCAAAAATCTTCATGATTTGTATTGTTTTTGTGAAACTCCTGCTTCCTTGCTGCATTAAGTGGTTTTGTGAAATTTCACTTTCAGAGGTACTCTACTAGTATTAACTATTTTATAGCTTGATTGTATTCCAGGGAAAAGGTGCTAAGCGTGTTGGAGCATTGTATGTAACTTGTCAGTTATTCAAAATTTACTTTAAGGTATTTATTGTTCCGTTTTCCTTCTTATTGGGGATTTATAACACTCTTGTTATGACCTCTTTTGTTGACATGTGTTTGCACTAATCTGAAACTATAGCATCTGGGATTGATCAAATATACATCTTAATTTTTTCCAAGGTTGGAATTTTGACTTTTATTCTATCAACAAATGTTTTGCAGCTTGGTACAGTTCATCTTTGCCGCAGTGTAATAAGAAGTATTGAAACTGCGCGCATATTTGATTTTGAGGAATTTCCTAAAAGAGATAAGGTTAGAATTTGTATAGACACATATTGTGTGCGTGTGTGTGCATGTGCATGTTAAAAATTTTCAGATTATTTACTTTTATGATATATTTCAGGTCACTTACATGTACTATACTGGTCGTCTCGAAGTTTTCAATGAAAATTTTCCCGCTGTAAGTCTTCTAAATTTCTTTAAAAATGATTTACGACCTGATTATGTTCTGAATTTTGCACACCTTCTGTTAGCATGTTGCTGGCTTTAGAGTTTTCGATGATGTGTCTTCTGGTTTGAAGTATTGGCGGTTGACGCTACTTTCAACAGAAAACTGTATTCCTTCCTATACAATTGCAATCTCAAATGAATTGAAATATTGTTTTATTATTTATTGATGCTGCTGCAGTCATTTTTATTATTATGATAAAGGGGATACATATTTGGTCACAGTTTTGATAATCAGAAAATGGTAATGTCAATATATTTTTATTCATAAACAATTGAAAAGAAAAGACAAAATAGTTATTTTCATTTGTGAAAACATTGGTTTATTTTAATTATTGTGATGGAGAGAAGATGAAGTGTTTGCTAAGGATGATGCATTTCTAGAAATAATGAAAACAATTATTTGGCATTTTAATTATTTCCTAAAAATGCACTCAACTATTCACTTCAATAGTCTATTATCTCCTTGTTACAAGTAAATTTAACATGAAATTGAAAATGAAAATAGAAAATGTTTTCACGAAGTAAACGGCACCTGTGTAACCATATTATCACGATTTTCAAATTATTTACTCTTTTGATGATTGAAAATATCTCCTTTGATAATTAAGTAGAAGAGTTCAAGAGCTGAACATTATACTGAATTACACTTAGTCAGTCAATCTACAGAAGAAAACACGGAAAACATACTTTTAAACTTTATAAACCACTAATAAAGTGTACATCTGTGACTTGACAGGCTGATCAGAAATTATCATATGCCTTGAAGCATTGCAACCCACAGCATGAAGCAAATATAAGGTTTGGCTCAGGTCTATCAACTGTGTGTACATTGCATTTTCATGAAGTATTAAGTTTGCCTGCACATTAAACATGCCTTTGTGGACGGGGCAAGACAGTTTTAAAATTGTTTCTTAGATCAAACTTCTGCAGATATTTTATGAGTTGAATATTCTTATATTGTTTGTGGAAAAAGGAAATATTTATGAGTAGGAAATTAGGAATGTTTTTTACTAGCGGGCACCAACCCCCGTATAAACTGCAAAATCTAGATCATAGCTTCCTACCCTGGTAAAGAGAAGTGGGCACATAGATTGTTCATTTCACTGTTCATCTATGAAGGACTGTGCCAATTCTTTATCTCATTATTAAAAGATAGAATAGAAAGTCATATTTAACCTTGTCCTTTTATTATACCTATTGTAATTAGTTTTTGTTTCACACAGGATGATTCTTAAATATCTGATTCCAGTGAAGCTTTCAATAGGCATATTACCCAATCATAGGCTCTTGGAGAAGTACAATCTACTTGAGGTATGTTTGGTGCTTATTGATGATTCGTTCTTTTTATATTTTCTCTCTATGGGCTATTATAAAGTTTCTGTTCCTACTTTTTTTTTTAATTGTAAACCTTTTAGAGCTCGTTGGTGACAACTCAGTTATGTTTCCATAATTCCATCTGAACAGTAACTTAGTTTACTTTTATAACTAGGGTGAGCCACTTTCAGATAAGCCAGAACAAATAAATGTAAAAATAAAATGGGACTCACTGTTATTTCCCTAAAGCCAATTTGCAGGCGGTACAACCTTTGTCCCTTTTGTTCAAAATCTTACAATAACCACTATGACTAAAAAAATTCTCTACAAAATCTGATCCTCTCATTGCTGATTATGTCCATCATATTTAAATGTCTTTACCAGCTAATGTTCATTTAGCAGTTTATGTTTATACTAACTTCATCATATCCGAAATATACATGCAATAACCTGGTAGCATTTGGTAGTTGATGTTTACTGTATTAACATCCATGTGTGCCTCCAAAGTGTCTATATGAGTAATTGTTTTTTTCTTCTTCTTTTGGACAGTATGGTAATATTGTACAAGCTCTAAAAAGGGGCGATCCTCGACTTCTTCGACGTGCACTCCAAGATCACGAGGACTGGTAAATTTGCCCATCATTGTTTCATAATGAGGATTGTTGTTCCAAAATTTGTTCTAGAGCATATATATAATCAAATTCATATTTATTGCAGGTTCTTGAGATCAGGTGTATATCTTGTCCTAGAAAAAATAGAACTTCAAGTATTCCAGAGGTTAGTAAAGAAGATGTAAGTATATGGTATCACCTTGCCCCCTCATCCACTTTGATAGATATTAAGCTTCAAAAGTTACTTAGCTGTATACTCAAATCACTAATTTATCATTGCTTGATTGTAACATGACAGTTACATAATTCAAAAGCAGAGAGACCCAAGCAGAGCTCACCAGGTGAAGTTGGAGGTTATTGTTAAAGCATTGAAATGGCTTGAAATTGACATGGATGTGGATGAGGTAATTTCTTTAATTTCTTCCTTAGTCTGACCTGTTTTCACCTTGTTTATATCTTTCAAAAGAACAAATAAATGAAGATATTGCTGTGTTTAATGAATTGATATTTAATGCGCTTGCAGGTAGAGTGCATAATGGCCATGCTCATATTCAAGAATCTTGTGAAAGGTTACTTTGCCCACAAAAGCAAAGTGGCTGTATTGAGCAAGCAAGACCCTTTCCCCAAGTTAAATGGAAAACCTGTTAGTTCATAGGGACCAAGACATCACTCGAGTTTCTGAACTTTGAGGTGCAAGAGAGTCCGGTAATTTTGAGAGGGTTCTTCGGCCATAAGTTTGTTGTATTGTATGTTCAAGAACCCCCAAATGTATTCTTCTTGTTAAAATGTCACAGCATTGCTTCCGTTTCAAAACAAGCTTCTGTCTAGTAGATATGATAACTTATTCTTGAAATTTGGAGTGTGGTTTAGTTTCCACTTATAGGGTTGTATGCTTGATAAGGGCTACCAGGGAAGAGGGTGTCACATTCCTGGTTGCAATGACCTGTATTTTTAGTTCGAAATTATTACTGTTGACATAGCTGTTCTCTATTGAATTATTTTAAATTAGGGTAAATATCCAATTCGTCCCATTGAATTATTTTAAATTAGGGTAAATATCCAATTCGTCCCATATCACCCTGAGGCGAATTTGAAAAGCCTTATACAAGAAAAACAAATTCCTTTTGTAAAGATTCTCTACTTTTAATCCCTCTTAATCCCTCGTTAGAACTACCTAGATATGATTTTTTTTTTAAGTTTTCAATTACTTTTTGTTTGATGTGATATCTGTTTGGGCAAATATAATAATTTTTTATTCAATTTATTTTAATAAAATAAAATAAAATAATTGTTTCTGATTAATGTATTTAAATAACCAAAAATACTTAATCAAATTTTAAAAAAAAAAAACCTTGGTTCAATTCCAAAATTTTTGAAATCTTCATTTTTCATCTTATCGTCATCCTTTTCCCAAATCAAAACTCTAGAAAACTTTGTCCTTTTTCCAAATCAATACTTAGAAAACTTTGGCTCAAACTCCGAAACTCTAAGTAATGTAAATTGCCTGCCTTCACTATATGGTAACTTTGGTGCCTTTAATTTTAATAATAAGACACATGTATAAAATAATTTATTTTAGTGAGAGAATGTGATTTGTTAAAGAGAGACACTCACAAAGTTACCAAAGGCATTGAAGCCAAAGGTAGCTGATCTTTCTCCCAATTTTCATCTTTTTTTCTCCTCTATTTTTTAAATTGTAAATTTCAAATCAACGGGTAATGATTTCATTACACAATTTCATTGAGGCTTAGTTTTGAAATTTTATTTCTTTGTTGCCTAACATGTGAGTTTGAAAGATATGGGTTGCTGTTATGATGAGTGTTTTGGATTTGGATAGTTTGATTTATTGGTCTCTACAAAGGATTTGGGTGGTTGGATTGGGAAAAAGACACATAAATGAAAACAGGAGAAGAAAACACAATTATGGATTTGAAGGTTGAAAAGTGTTGTGAATTGGGATGTTTTAAATAAAATATACTCGATTTTTTTATGATCAAGAAACACACAAGGATTAGGGTTAAGAAAAAATAAGGAGAACAACAAGGGTTGGTTATAACTGATATTTTTTACTTTCTCTATAAAACAGATTACAAGTACTCAAGAATAACAAACAACTTTCTCATCCTAATTAGGTTTTGTCACATCACACTTAAGATGAGAGACTAGTATGTTATTTATAATAAAACCTAACATACTAAACTAATGAGATTTTTTAGCAACTATCCATTACAAGCTAACTTATGGTACAAGCTAACTTAAACAATTGGATCCTTAACACAATTTTCAATTCGACAACTACATATTAGAACACAATTCGACTACAGCATGTAGGTCTTCGACAACAGCATGCGAGCAAACTTCGACGACATGCTATATAAAGTTCGATCTAATATTTCACAAATCTCCACCTTGGATCTAACTCTACCATCAAGAAACAAATTAGTTTTCTTCATGCAGCTTTATCATCTGCATAGAGTGGAAAAACTTGCAACTAGGCAACGTCTTGGTGATCATATCAGCGACATTATGATATGTCGAAACCTTCAGCACTTGGACTTCTCCACGCTCAATTACCACTCTGACGAAATGCAATCTCACATCAATGTGATTGGTTCATTCATGATAGGCTGAATTCTTCGACAGGTGTATTGCACTTTAACTATCACATTTAACAGTGACAACTCGACCTTGAAGTTTCAGATCCTTTGCAAAACTTTCAAGCCACAATTCTTTCTTCACAACTTCAGTTAGGGCGATATATTCCGCTTCAGTGGTTAATAAGGCAACAACCTTCTGAAGTGTTGCTTTCGAACTGATTGTTGTGTAGAACGTAGTGTACACATATTCAGAAATAGATTTTTTGGAATCCATACAACCTACATAATCTGAGTCGACATATCCTTTGATTGTTGCTTTACTATCTTCACCCAATGCTCCACCATAAATTAGGACTCTATTCAGAGACCCATTTATGTACCTTAGCATCCACTTCAATGTTTGCCAATGAGCTTTTTCAGGATTCGTCATGTACCTGCTTACAAGACTTACTACATATGTTATATTAGGTCTAATACAGGCCATAACATACATCAAAGAACCCACTATATTAGCATATGGAATGCTATTTATATAAGCTCTTTCGACATCAGTACTAGGACACTGATCTATACTCACTTTGAATTGCGGGCTTATCAGAGTCACAACAGGCTTTGAATTCGACGTACCAAACTTTTCGAGAATCTTCTGTAGGTATGCCTATTGAGATAAGCATAATTTTGATTGCTTTCTATCTTTTCAGACGTCAATCCCAAGAATCCTGGACACAACTCCCAGATCCTTCATGTCGAACTCCTTATTGGGTTCAGTCTTCACCCTCATTACATCTTCGACATTGTTACTTGCTATTAGAATATCATCCACATAAAGCAACAAAATAACAAATGAATTAATAGGTCAAAATCCAAAGTAAACACAGTGGTCGAACTGACTTCTAATGAAACTTATGTGTGCCATATGTTAGAGCAAGATTTGATTCTGCATCTGTATCTCTAAATTTTGATGATAACAAGTTAGTATTTTTGTGAGAACAATTTTGGTACCCTAACAATTTGTGTATCTTTAGCAAACAACTTTGATTCTGACTCTTGAGCATGAAACATTACAAGTTTTTGAATATATTGATCTAAATTGCTTCTACTCAAACTCACAGATGAGAAGCTTCTAAGGAAACTGTACTGCAACATTCTCTTGGCTCGTGCTTCTGACGTGTGACTCTGATCAATTTACTTCTGAAGACAACTCAAGCTTCTAAAAATTAAAAACCAAAGGTTCTAAAACTCTGAAGAATCTCAAGTCAGGTATTGATGTGATCAAACTTCTGATTGATGATTGAAGTTTTTGAACTCAAGATTCCGAAGATTAAAAGCTGAAGGTTCTAAAACTCTGAAGAATCTCAAGTCAGATATTGATGTAATCAAGCCTCTGATTGATGATTGAAGTTTTTGGACTCAAACTTTCGAAGATTAAACGCTGAAGGTTCTAAAAACTCAGAAGAATCTCAAGTCAGATATTGATGTGATCAAGCTTTTAATTGATGTTTGAAGTTTTTGAACTCAAGCAAAATCAAATCTTCTAACTCATGCTTCAAACAACGATTTATCCAGAAGCCACTGAAGAATAGAAGATAAGAACGAGTTTATACATGGGGAAAATAGTACATGGTACAAACCAATATTCCTTCTACTAAGAGAATTTCGTGGAGTAAGGAAATTGATGTAGTGCGATTCTTGTCCCCTCTGTATTAAATCATTACTCAAGTCGTTAGATCATTCTTGAAGAATACCAGACATGCGCTCCAACTGATCTTTTTTATTGGCTATATAAAAACTTGAAGACATGAAGAAACTACACATGCAAGACTGTTGTCACAACTTGTGCTGAAATTTTCTTTAAGTGTATTATGTTTTTAACTTGTATATACCTGCTTGTATAGAAGCAATATTTGTAAACACAACCTTGTAATTAAACTGTTGTTTGTATTTCCTTAAGGGACCAGTTAGGTCAGAATCCTTGAGAAGACATATATTGTGTGTCTTTGTGGTTTGTTAGTCACCAGCGGTTGCTAATGCAGCTATAATCAGTTGATTATAGTGGATTAAGTCTTTGGGTATAAGTCGAAATCACCTTGGCGGGTGGACTGGGTTAACTTTGAGATTTTCAAGTGAACTAGTATAAAAATCGAAGTGTATTTCTCTTTGTGGTTGAATAGTTATGGTCTTTTATTGAGTGAGTAAAAAGCTTTTGTTTTTAAAAGCCCCAATTCAAACCCCCTCCCCTTTTCTCGTGTTTTTCTCACATTTAATTGACATCAGAGCTCCGGTTCTGATTGTGATAAAAGTTTATCAAACACTTAACTATGTTCAGTACCGATCTAGTGTGTGTGAGAAACCATGACGACTGTTGGTATTTCAGTAGAGAAAGATTATTACATTGTCAAACCACCAATATTTAACGGTGACAAGTTTGACTATTGGAAAGAGAGAATCGAAAGTTTCTTTCTTGGCTACAATCATTTTGTTAATGCTGCAGGAGAAAATTGTCAAGAAGTGTTATGACTGATCAATAAAAGAAAGATTATAAGAATCACCACAAGGCAAGAACTATACTACTAAATACTATCTCTTATACTGAGTATGAGAAGATAACAAACAGAGATACTGCCAAGTCCATTTTTTATTCTCTAAGAATGACTCATGAAGGAAACGCTCAATTTAAAGATCTAAACAATATGAGTCTTGAAGAACTTATTAGTTCCTTGAGAAGTCATGAGATAGAACTTGAGGGAGATAAACCTCAAAGGAAAGGAGAGTCAGTTCCTTTGAAATCTAACTCTGAAGAGTCAATGGCTTATCAAGCTGAGGAAATCTCAGAAGATTCTAATGAAGACTCAGAAGTTGATAATGAACTTTCATTAATTTCTAGAAGGGTCAATAGACTCTGGAAGAATAGACAAAATGGTCAAGGAAAGTTCAAAGGATCTAGAAGAACCGTTGGTCGTTTTGAATCAACATCAGAACAAAGGACGTTGAGTTCTGAAAAAGAAGTTATTTGCTAAGAATGCAAAGATCCAGATCATTACAAGAAAGAATGTCCCAA